TATTTGCTGGAATAGCCCAAATTGACTCCAAATTTGAAGAAGCAGCTGATTGCGCTCTACTGTAGGGGTTTATGAACAGGATAGCTCTGAAAGGGGTTAGGAGCATTGTGGTCACTGTCCGTAAGGGCCATCTCACCTACATTCCCCGATGCACTTCGATATCCAAGGATATTTTAATGGACGTATTTCTGAAGGCAAAGTTCTGAGGTCAGTGTTGCAGAGATACTGTTTTAACTTTGTAACATCTTCCAAAAATTTGGTTCTCTCTGAAAACAGAGATGGTTTTCCCTTAAGAATAAAAGGAAGGACACTGTCTATGAGTTTTAAAATCAAGTATTTGCATTTTTAAAAATATTTTTAACTTTTTTTTTTTTTTTTGGCGGAACCGGGGATTGAACTCAGATCCTTGTGTTTGCCAGTCAAGCGCTTATCCTACTGAGCCATCTCCCCAGCCCCAAAATATTTTTAACTTTTTTAAAGAGAAAAAGTAAAAATGATGATAAAGACTTTCGAAACAAGTTAACAGGAAATTAACAGTGGTTAATTATATTGCATATTTTTATGTTCAAAGTAATTTCTCTGATTACAAGATCTAGGCATGCAAGATGGAGCTTATTATTATCTCTCCGTGTGTGTGTGTGTGTGTGTGCGTGTGTGCGTGTGTGTTGCTGGGAATCAAACTCATGGTGTCACCGTTGTCAGGCAGTCTTCAAGTATCTTGTCTTGAAATTTTGTTTCATTCTTTTACTTTAAAACACAAAGCAAATAAATCTTTGCTTAACTTCTACTCTAATATTAATGATTAGACTTATTCTTTCTCTTACAGCCTGAGATGAAAAAATAAATCAAGTGTGTATTGTTACATAAATGTAAATATTTGGGATGGCTAAATTACAATAACCTTTTCATGTTCTACAAATTAAAGGATCACCTTACAATAACAAACCACAACAACAAGAACAACAACAACAAAACAAAGCACTGCTGGGCTGGAGAGAGAGCTCAGCCGCATAAATGCCTTCCGGACAATAATACAGGCTTGAGTTTGACCTCTGATAAACCCTCCACCAAATGAAATAAAGTAAGATAAAATAAACCACGGGGATGCAGAAAACAGAAAGAAAAAAAAGCCATTAGAATAGTTATAATGCCTTTTTGTTTAAAATCAAATAAATGCATCCCGTTTAAAAAAAGAATGACATACACACAGAAGAGCAGCAGTGGTGAATGGTTTCCACCATTCTTGTGAGTAGCTTTAGATCAGGAAAGGGGATGTATGCCTCTTTACACCAGAGCCTGTCGTCACCCAGCCTGAGTGGTTTGCCATCTGCCCTGTAGCTGTGTACCACCGACAGTGATATGCATGCAAGAGAGAACGAGAGTGAGGGAGTTCTACGCTGGACCGTATGGCAGCGCTCGAACAGTGGACGCCGAGGCTGCTTGGAGAGTTGTTCTGTGGGTTTCTGCTGGTTTATGGAAATGAACAGTTAATGCTGATTTTTTGTGTTTTTCCCATTTTCGCTCTTCTGAATTTTTCATATTTTTCTCTTGTGTTTCTTTTTCCAGTTTTGCATGCACATATCTGGTAATCTGAACAACTAATTTGAAGACAACACTGCAATAGAACACATGCAGTCAAATTCATTTTTTTTTTTAGTGAAGTTCTGTGTCATTTGTGATGTTTTCTTTTATTACTAGTTTGTCTTCTCTTTTAAAATAAACGTAAAAATATAGGCTTGCTTGGAATAAACATAACATTTTCTCCAAATAATCTTTAAGACCTTGTGATCCAAAAGGGATTATAAGAAGCAGATTGGCTATAATCAAGTTTGTAAAATGCCAGTTTAAGTTATAAAAACAAGATATTATTTTGCATTTGTGAGATTAAAAAGTGGCCCAAGTACCTTAGTACTCTACTGAAACATAGGAAAACTCACCTTCATTAGTAAGTCATTGGTCTTCTACTTTTAGAGCTCACAGTGTACAAAGGTCAGAGTAAAGCTGTCCAAGATCACTTTTCCAAGGCAGTGTCATACTCTGGCACTATATATCATCTTTCTTGTTTTATGCAAGTTTTCAGGTATACGTGAATAAACCAAAGTAATGAAAAATGTTTTTGTACATTTTCAGTCACCAGTTCTGAAGCCAGAATGGACAATGATCTTGCCATTGAGGTTCTGATTTTCAGGAGGTTCAGAAGTTATATTTCATCCATTTCTTTAAACCTAGAGGGACAAGTGAGGTAGATGCAGGCCTGCAGGAAATACTGTGCAGTAGGTCCAATAAAATAGGAACCATAGCTGGCAGGGGAGTTGGTAGCATTGTGTAGCCAAGATTGTCAGAGCCGTCAGTATGTATTTGAGATGGGGCCCATTGGAGACAGAACTCATGCATGCTAAGTGCATAGAGGAGGAGCTCATAGAGCTCTGATATCACTGTCTTTGGGAAAGAAACACAGAAGTCGATAAGTAAATCAACATACAAATGCAAAGGACAATCCTGAAGTGAGTGTGGCAGTGCACTCCTGGTGTCCCAGACCTCTGTGAACCTGAGCCAGGAGGACCTCAAGTTTAGGCTCATCTTGGGAAACTGGACAAGTTTCAAGACAGTAGGGATCTGTTGGTCTCTCAGAGTGGTCTGTTGGACCTGGGGAGAAATGGTTGCACGAATGACAAAAAAATAGACACGAAGACAAGAGCTGTCAGGTGGTGTCTTGTCTGCCTGGTTGGTGAGCGGACCCCCAAGAACAAAAGTAAGGGTCTTTATTTATACCTTTGCAAAGTCACATGCCACAAGGTTGCCAAGCAACTAATAACTCATAATGCCTAGGCAGGATGTTTTCCTCAACACTGAGGTAGCTTGACTGCTTCAAGCATGAGGCACATCCTGCCCTCCACATATGGTCACCTTCAGCTTCAGCATCTCTCAACACCAGAAAAAATGAGTGGAAAACAAACAGAAGCAGATACTGTTCTCTTAAAGCAGAGAGCTACCTTTAGTGAAACACAGTATTAAAGTTGTAAACAGCATCTTAAAAGCAGTCAAAATAGACTACTTCATATCCAAATGTCCAAAATGTTATGAAATTGATAGATGTATTTCAAAGATTTTTAGTGAAACAGTGGTATCATTTATTTCAAAAATTACATCTCTACTGAACATACTAACTTTCTTTTTAAAATTTTTTATTTATTTGGTACATGGTTATGTGGTGCAGCTTGAACTCATAGTCATCCTTCTTTCTCAGCCTACCTAGTGCCACAGATGTGTGCCACCATGCCATTTTGGTGGCCAGCTTGGTGTGCCCATGGTTCTGGGGTGACATGCATTAGTAGAGATAGAACCTGGGTCCTTGGACTTGCCAGGCAGGTGCTTAGACTTCCAAGCTATCTCCCCAGCCCCATACTGACTTTCTTGAAAGTATGTGCTTGATCATTGGAAACAGAAATTAACACTAGTTCCAAATAACTATTGATTGGAATTTTAAAACCATTTCTGTATTGGAAATTAAATTTTTAGGTAGTTGCACTCTTGCAATATGAAAATACCTCTACCACATCTATGCAGAAGGGTACTTTGAGGACTTTCAAGTGACCAAAATGTGAATCTCTGCTTACCATGTTGTGCTCATTAGCTGGATGACACACACTTCAGATGTACACTCAGTGTGAAACTAATATTGTTATTTTGTTTTATGTATCTATAATTACAGCAAACATGGTCAGCTTTTGTCACGAAATCACAGAGACCACTTTTCTTCCAAAGAAGGTACATATTGTACTTGCAGCATTTGTTCTGCTTTCTCGCTTGTCCTATATGGTCCGTGTTTCATCACAATGTAGTATTCATTATCCCAATGTGCACATTTTAATAAGCAGGGCTCTAATCCAAGGATAATAATATCCTTAAGCTTAAAATCTCTAGTGGGTCATAAGTATTTTAAATTGCTGGCTTTTCTTATGTAATGAGGCTTAAGTTATCACGATGAAGCTAAACAGGGAATTGACAGGTATGATAATCTGTTTCTTAAAATACAAAAATTATAATTTCTTAGGACTTTTACTTAAAGAGCTATTGAGTTGAATACTGTTTTCAAGTACCATTCTATGTAGATAACAACAGGTATTTTTAGATTGGCTTTTGAATGGATTATTTGAAATAATGACTATGACTTATTTTAATATAGAAATAATAAAACACCAAGATTACATCTACATTATGAATGTCAAAAAATTAGTAATATCTTCTTAAATAAAAATTGAATATATATATTAAAATATGTATTTAATATAGGACTTTAGGAAGAAAATTAGTTTAAAGGGAAAAAGCTATATATACAGAGTTTTATATATATATATATACATTTATAAATATACACGTATAATATATGACATGATATAATCTATAATATATTACATATAATATATAATATGTAGCCTGGTGGATCTAGGTCCCTCCTTTCTCCTTATTCCTCTGCTTCCTAGCACCAGCCATGAGCAGAGCCCCCACTGCTATGGTGCCCTGCCTGGGAGCCAGCTGACTGTGGATAAGATCTCTTATCAACTGTGATATATACACTGGAGGTGTGCTGTTCTGTGTCCAGTGACGAGGAACTACCTAAGATAATATACTTAGAAAAGAATTCTTTATGTATAATATTATATAAGGAAAATAAATATTTTATATATGTTATTTTTATAGTTGTATACAGATTATATTTGAAGGCATAAAACAGCTTTTATTAACTTTCTTTTTTTGTTTTGTATTTAATACAAGGTCTATAGGATCTCACTAAACAGATCTGACTCATAGTGATCTTTCTGTTTCCAGCCTCCTAATTACTGGGATTACAGGCACGCATCACCACGCCCAGTCCCAATCGCTGTCTCAGTGCGCCTTGGGGTAGGGCTGGCACAGGATGCTGGGGATCAAACCCCAGCCCCTGTGTCTGCCTAAAGAGGCACTTCAATCTTCTGAGCTATCTGGCCAGCCCTTAAAAAAAAAGTATGGAACACTTCACAAACTTGTGTGTAATCCTTGTGCAGAGTCCATGTTAATCTCTTTCATTCATTCCAATTTTCGTATATATGCTGCCAAATCGAACACATTAGCTTTTTGCAATACTGTATTTTAAATGTATCCGGTAAACTAAGAAGCAACACAACTCATACAACTTGAGAGAAAGCAACTCAGCCTATTTGTATTACAGTCTATATGCTGATTATACGTTACTTTTGGGTGATCTCTGTTCTCTAGTATTGGCAGAGGTAGCAATTGTAACACAAAAATCAAATTTTTGAGTGTGCAGGACTATGTTTAGCCTCATTGGTCATGAACCTAGTGATCTCCACAATCTCTTGTTAGGCAACATTGGGTTTCTAGAACTGTGGACTTCTGGGGCTGATGAGCTATTGAGTAACTAATATGCTAGATGACCCGTATGAAACTGAAGACTCTTTCTCAACATTAATTGTTATTTTGAAGACTTAATTGCACTTTTGACAGTTATTATAAATAATTAAGTTACTACCAGAATTAATACTTGTCTTCTATACTTACAGACTATCAATATCTATCATTTTGGGGAGGGCACCATAGAAGATTTGTCTTAACATAATTTGAAGATCTATTTTAGGGAAGGATGTTTCCCAAAGACCATCTTTGCATCTCGAACTAGTAACGCTTCCGCCATGTAAGTTTGCTATGTCCTGCATTAATCTCCCGAAGCTTTAGACTGTCCATGTGAGAAATAGACTTCATCTTTTCTGCCAAACCACTCTTCATTGAAATGATTACTCACGTTACAATCCCCCCTCAATTAATATCCTGAGCTCCCACTATGTACTTTTTCCAAGAAGACATTCAGTTTCCTAGCTAAGAACGAAAGCCTTTCCATTCCGAACCATAAGTTTGTAGCTCTAAGTTACCTAGCAATTCACCCTTGCCCCACACCACTTGAGTTAGCCACCCGAGATAGGTTTTAAGCATTTGAATTCAGCCAGTGAATTACAATATAACTGCTTCCGTGTCTTAGGTACAAAAGGAGCGTAGCTCTGTTGTCCTGCAACCTGCTACCTCATTGCTGGGGGTGCTTTCACTTTTTTGCTACAGTGAAAGGTTTTGGGGATTTCTTGGTGTCTGAGTATTTCATTATCTGTACAAAAAAATTAAGCCTGGGAACTTACTTGTAGTACCTCTGATGACACTGAGATGAAATTTTAAATTTTACACGGCAGGACAATGGTAATTACTACATTAATTTTCACAGTAGTCCAAATATCTGATTCTTGGTGTTGTGAAATCCCTGCCTCTCTTGGCTTGAGAGCTGATTTCTGTGCAGCTCTGAGTCATAGCACACTGTCTTGACATGCAACATTTCATTCAGTGGTTTGCCTAGTGAAGGACAGTTTGCTTTCTTTCAAGGTTCATTAATGAACGGAGCTCTTCTGAGTACGTGGATACTAGTTGTGCCAGGTCACCTCACCTGGACACAGCGTCACACACATTTTTGTTTGGATTGTGATGCTCAGCAAACTTTGAAGTGTTTGAGAAAACGTATCACCTGCTTATTGTCCTTCTGTACATTTTACTTGAAGAGGATTTTCTTAAGGTTTTTGGCCCACTTTTTGGTTCGGTGTTTCATTTTCTCATTGTTAAACTTTCAGAGATTATCATGAGTCTTTTTGGAAATGCCTCTCCCAGTTGACCCAGCCTTCCTGATCTCTTTACCTTGCTTTTCAAAAATCACTATTTTAATATTTTTTTCCATATTTTAAATTTTTCATGAGGTCCAATTTATCTCTTTTACAGGTCCCATTTATTTCCTTAAATGTTACATACAAAATATCATCATAATCTGCGTCAGTAAACTTTTTTTTCTTATGTTTGTCTGTAAGGTTTTCTGAGGCTTGCTTTTCACTTTTGGCCACAAATCATTTTGTGATAATTATTGTGGAAGATAAAACATCTAGGTTAATTTTGTCATATGAATGTCTACTTATAGCTCTATTTCTTGAAAAGTACTGCCTTTGCCTCATTATCCTAGATCAGTTGATTATGTTTGTTTTGCTCTTTGAACGCTTCAGATTGATTCTGTGAATCAGCTGTGTATAGTTTCAGTGGAATCCAAGGACCTTGATTATCATAGGTTCAGAATAAGGTAGCATATTCATCCTCTTTGTTTTTGTGTCATATTAGGATAGCTGTTCTAGGGTTTTTGCCTTCCCATAAAAAAGTAAGAATCGATTTGTTCATATAAGCAAAATATAGTGCTAGCATTTTGTTTTGTTTTTTTGTCTAAAAATTTATTAAACCTAATTAATATCTTACATGAGGATCTGAACAAAGGCTAATGAGTTATTTAAATGTTATGTGCCCTGCTCTAGCAGCTTTCGTTTTTCTTTAAAATCCCCCCAATGTCCTCTTTCAATTTGCACATTGTGATTGCTTCAAAAACAGAACCCCAAGAACCTGAGTCTACTTTTCAAGAATCTCAATCACATTTATGGGAAACTTAATCAGTACGTATTTTTTTCCTCATTTCCTTTGGGGTAAGTATGATTATGGCTTTCTTGGTGGTGTTGATGTCAGCTTCCACTGCGGGCACCCCATGTCTCCCTCACATCATTCAAGCAAAAGAACCTGGAATCACAGAGGCCCAGCCAACACCCCAGATGGTAGTTAGGAGCACAGGCAAATGTCACTGACTCAGTGCTCCAGTGTTCCTCCCTGGCCCTTGGCTGCCCTTTCCCACCTTCCCCAGAAACCCTAGGGACCAGAGGTCTGATTTATCACAGAAAATTTGCCTTCCACCACTCACAAACACTCATTATTAGTATTTTTTATATATTTAGTACAGGGTCTACAGGGTCTCGCTACACAGATTGGACTCATAGTGAACCTTCTGTTTTCATCCTCCCAAGTGCTGGGATTAGAGGTGCACCACCCTGCCCAGTCTCAATTGCCATCTCAGCACACCCTGGTATTGGGGGCGGCACGGCACACCAGGGATTGAATCCCGGTCCCTCTGCCTTCCTAAACAGTAGTGCTCGTATTTTGATGAAGATTATTTCAAGCTAGGAAGAAATGAAATCTTGAAAATATCGATCCCATTGTGGTCTCTCTTGGCTAATCTCTCAAGTGGGTGTGAGGAGAAAGTGCAAAATCTCAGTTGTTGCAAGAAGCAGTTTAAGGTGGCAATTATATCCACTCGATTCTTGGTCCTTTTAAATTTAATTATGCTCTTATGGACTTTATAACCCAGAATCTGTCTCTCTCTAGAAGAGAAATATTAAAATCTCCAAGCCACATTCATATATTCATGTGCTTTTATTAGCAATTCTTATCAGTTTTCCCTTCACCCGTGTTGAAGAATTGTTATTTAGCAATCCTTATCCTTGAATTGGCTTTCTCTATAATTACGGTGATACACCTGACCTTGCTTTCATTAGTTTAGAATGCTACATGTTTACATCTGGTGTACACAAAACTGCATAGAAAATGATATTTTTATACACAATCAGATTTAGTTCATTGATTTACTCTGATTTAATAATTCAGTTGTCCTCACTAGACTATTGATATTTAAAGTGATCACTGGCATTAGATTAAGATTTCTTGTACCTGTTATTGTTTTCTGTTCATTGCCTTTGTTCGGTCTTCTCAATTTTATCTTCTATACTGTCTGCCCTTTGTTTTATTTTTGTTTTTGTTTTTCATTTTATGTATTTGATACAGGGTCTCACTACACAGCTTAGACTCCTAGTGATACTCCTGTTTTCAGCCTCCCCAGCACTGGGATTACAGGGGTGTATCACAATGCCCAGACTCATTTGCTGGTTCAGGGTACCCCAGAGCCAGGGCTGGCATAGCATTTGAGACCTGGAAATCGAACCCCTTGTACTTGCGTTTGCCAAGTGGGTATTTATTCTGCTGAGGTATTTTGCTAGCCCAGTTATTTTAATTGAGCATTTAATAAGTCAAATATTTTATCATTTTAGTAT